TGTCCTGGAGGATATGGGACCAGATGGCTCAGTGGCTCAAAGGATAAAACCACTTGCTAAGTAAACCCGAGGACCTTTGTTTAATCCCTGGGACCCATGGTGGAAGGAAAGACAGCTCTCAAATGTTGTCCCCGGACCTCCACATGTGTGCCCATGTGCCCACTAATAATATCAATGATAAAAAATAAATTTCATTTTTTCTGAAAAGAAAATGCAATTAGGTGACAATAAATAACGTGGGTTGCACCAATTTAATTTTGTTACCCTAGCCATAAAAAGCTATCATCTCCTTCTCATGACCTCCTCCACATCTCTAAACCAATGCTAGCTCTACCAAACCAATGCAGTTTCAACCCAAGTGCAGGAATTCCTTTCCTATCAGGTTGCTAGGCTTAAGCAGGCCAGAGATACCTAGTGGAAGGTACTGATAGACTGTATTTAGCCAGTTACGAGGCAGGTAGAGCACTTTAGACTTGACACCCTAGATAAAATGGAGCTGCGTGAGCTCCTCAACAAGAGGTTCCTTGATGAAGTGAGAAATCACTCACAAAATCATTTCACTGTAAATGAGTCATCTCTGAGAAATAAGTCTAAACAATGAACCGCTATCAAAGAAGTGTTAACAATGGAAAACCAGAAGTTTTCTTAAAACTCCATTCTGCCATAATTTAAGAGGTAAATCAGTTCACATGAAAGATGTCACAGGTACTAAAACTTTGCTCACTTATCAAATTATGATTCATGAGAACAGAGCGCATTTTTTAAAACTATTCATTTATTGTCTATGTCAATGTCACTTCCAGTTTTGGGAAAATTAATATTAATCCCTTGTCACTGAAAAAAATGTAATTGAGTTTACCAAACTAATTTCTCAAAGGCCACCTGATAGCCATTAGATGGAAACCCACGATTCTGTCAAAATAGAAATTTAAGCCAAGTGTGGCCTTGAAGTCGCTACATTGCCAACTGTTTGCCCCACAGGTTCCTTTGAAATCACAAAATATAAAAGTTCCCTATTACTTAATAATTACATTTGGCTCTAATGAAATACTTTCTATCCATAAGGGTTACTTTAACTATTTTCTTTTTAATAGAAACCGCACAATGTTGAGTGATCACTAACAGACCTGGTAAGGTCCTTGAATGAATGCCTACTGAGAGTTCAGGCACACATTAGTAAATTTTCTCAAGAAAAATCCATTTCCATTTCAAGGTGACATTTTATTTTAAAAAAATATGCTCTTTCTTTTAATTATTCCGGTAAACATAATGAGGGTGTCGCTAAGTACACCTCAGAGGACTTTATTTCCTCCATTTTTCAGTCACACGAGTGTGCTTGTAATTAAAGGCATACCACATTAATGATGCTGAAAATCTCCACGGTAAACAGTTAATGTCCACCTCATAACACTATGCCAAAATTACATGCGCAAAAGACTTTTTAATCATCTTTGTTTTGTCATTTGGGTTTGACTGGCTCTGAAATCCATGGCAGCACGCGAGGGCTCCTATTTCCACAGTCATCAGCACTTCTGCCCCATAAATTGTACAAATGTATGTGGCTGCTTTCATCTCGAGGCTTCTTTTCAAATGTTTCTGTTTAAGTTATACAGAGCATTGGCTGAGAGCTGTAGATAATTGCAGATAATTTTTTTTTCCATTTTTAAGCCACCGGGGTGTTTCCCGGGGGACATGACAGCTATGTTTATTTAAACACAAAGACCAAGGCACAGCTCAGTGTTGTCGCTTCAGCTCCACACCCAGGATCAGATCATCCGATCTGCTCCTTATGCAAATTAAACCGTTGTCACTAGATGACCTGTGTCTCCTGACAGAGGCATGCTACCTGCAGCTTGTATTATGGCTGAGAGGACAGTATCCACACAAGTAGGTTGCCTCAGCTGCAAAAGCAAAGGCAGCCAGTCCGGTGCCTTGCACGTTTTTCTCCCAATAACAAAAACAGGCTCAATTTTAGGCACTGTCAATTTGAAAAGGGATGTACCAGACTAAAAAGAAAACAAATAATTTTCCAAACAAATAATACACACACATACATACATATATGATATTCACACACATGATCTATATTCATATGCTCTATTATATTATTATAGACAAATTTTTCCTAATAAACTATTGTTCACGGTGTTTATATGATTAATATATGACCATTTTAAATTACTTGACATAGAAGATTTGACATAGATAGGACATCCAAGTTAGTAAGCAGAGATGTATTATTAAATGGAACCGTAAGCTGTTTTTTCCCCTCCTAATTCACGCCACATTAAAATAAATACAACATTCATGGGTAGTCATGGGCGTATACTGACAGAGAAAATACAGAAGGCAGCACCATAGATTTTCAGTGCAATACCAATGAAGCTCCACTCATGTTAACAACATTAACTCTGGGCATTAGAGACTATTTCCATGACTGAATGTATTCTCTGTGTTCAGAATCCCTGGAGTCATTACTAAGAGGAGTGTTCCTAGCTGAGGAGGCAAAGCCATCTTCCAGTAAACATTTACATATAGGGGCTAAGTAGGGCTTGTGTCTATTTGGCAGCTCCGGTGATGTAATAGGCCATAATGACTCTGGAGGAGCTGAAATGGAAATAAGTGTCAGGGAGCGTAGAACCCATAAGTCCTGGCATAAGTGACTTTACGGATTCCCATTAGACTTTGGGCTAAGGAGCTCCTCGGCAGACCTGATATGACAGCATCCCGCAATGCTTTTACCGCCGGTGTCAAGAACTCTTACACCAAGGCGTTTTAGAGAAAATCCACCGCTACAGAAAGGAAGTTTTGCTGTATTGGGGCCATTATCACCGACTTGGCATCTAATATGCATACTAATAGTCCCAAAGTTCACATTTAAAGGAGATTATTAAATCGGCTATGCCAATCATATGCACATTAAGGAATACAAATTAATGACTGATAGGGTAACTCCGAAATCTTACCCCCTGCCCAGTGACATGTGAAAGTCTACCAGAGTATGCACTGCACTACAGTGTAGCCTGGGTGGGGCTTCCTGTGTGTCACACAGTTACAGTTAGGGCCAACCTAGGTCTATTCCCTTAATTCTCTTTTCTCAAGGTACTTTACCATCACTTAGCCTATAACTTAATAGGAATTAACTTACTTAATTAAGAACCTTAGACCATGCCCCTGTGAAAAGCTAGCCTGTAAAGTCCTGTAATGTGCCCTTTCCTGCTTCTTTTGGGGGAAACAGGAAGGCTGAAACAGGTATGAGATGCTTTACACATAGGGCAGGAGAGATGCTGAGCCAGTGTTTTCTGGCCAAAGATGAGTTCGGGGAAGCCGCACACACAAATCACACCTTGGAGGCAATCCTACAGCACCTGTGTGAGTAGAAACTGCACCCTGGCAAAGGACATGAAGTATTTCACTTGGATCTGTAAATTATTAAGCAATTCCCGAAGAGGCATATTGTTCAGCGTGTCACAGAGACCAATAGATAGGGCTGGAGCAGTCGTGATGAGAAAATCTGGCCCAGAATGCAGGCTCTGGAGCTTAGATAACCTATAACCAAACAGTAATTTCACACCACATTTGCAATGAAATTTTAAATTTGACCTTTCATAGGAAATTACTAAAGACTTCATATAAGGCCGACAAATGTCCCTGCTCTTTTACAGATTTATTGGAGTTTTACCGATACGTTTGAATAAACCTTACTGAAAGCCTGTGGTTTGCAAAACGCACAACTTCTTTCGGAAGCACATACCTGTTACCCTGAGAGACGGGCTCTCTCTTTGAAATATTTAGTCATTTGGGGCACTTTAGTCATAGTGACACCTAATAGCCAAGATCTTTCTCTCACCCTCCACCAAATCAGGTTTAGACTATAATTCAAAGCAGTCCCCAAAGGCACTCTGACAAATGGTAAGCCCTTAGCTTTTAGGTGAAAACGCTCTTTATTGCTCAAAATTGTCCCCTGCTACAAAACCGGTTCTACAGTGCCCCGCCTGAGACAATCTTATGTTAATTTGACTCACTGGGGACTGTGAGCAGATGCTGCTTTGATTAATAGTTTCACTAGCCTGAAAATGCCAGGCCAAGTTCAAGATAATAAAGTCAGGTAAGATACTATTAAAACCTGCCACATGGTTATATCTGTTATGTGGATTAAAATGGGGTCACGGTTCTTACATCAAATAAAGACTGCCAACAATAAAAACCAACAACATAAACCAAATGAGCACACTGTCTCATTTCCTTACCACATTAACTGACACCACATTAATCACCCATCTCTTTAATAAACACCTTACAGGTATATCTTCTCCTGTGATTTTAGTTGAAAATGCAACATGTTCCTCCAATACTACTTTTCTCCTAATAGATGCTTCACTTGGAAAAGTGCAGTCCTTGATAGCAAGTGCAGTCCTTGATAGCAAGGATATGCATGAGCTGGCAAATAAGGTCTCTGAAAAAGTCCTTCAAGAAAGTCTACGATCCTTCCTTCTTTTCACCTTGCTGGTCCCTTCGTGAGGAACCCCTATCAGAGATGCTGTCTGGTAAAGGAAACAGAAGATCTCAACTAATCTTGAACTAGGGAATTGGAGCCTGGCTTCATCTATGTGTAAGACTAAACCTGTGTGTTCTTAATGCTGGTTTACCAATGGGTTTTCATCATGAACATTATCCAGCTGACCTAACGTTCCAGTTTCTATTCTAAAATTTAACCATCAATTTGGCGTTTTGATTTGCAGTATATCCACACTCCACCTGTGTCATTGAAACGTTTGGCTTACTGGCAAGCAGGAAGTTCCCATACATCAATCACATCAGATATATTGCAACTCCAGATAGGACAAGCCTCCTCTGAGCATGATGCCAGCCTCTCAACATGTATCTGCCACCTGCAAATCTGGCTCTGCCAAACTGAGCCTTCACACTCGCCTCTTTTGCTTGCCCATGAGATTGAATGACACTCATGTAAAATACTCTACGCAAAAGCACCACCTCACCATTGCACAGAATGCCTCTGGAGGGTCTCCACAGGTAATATCCGGAGGATCCAGCTTCACTTTCAGATACTTTGTCATGTCCGTGGATTCCGGCTGGCAGGCCATATAATCCCAAACTTTCCCTTCTTCTGTGTAAATCTGAGTTTTACATACATCATAATGTCCCCACACTAAAAGGTAGGGCTGCATCACAGAGGACACTGTAACCCACAGGGCATGGATCGACAGGAATCTTGACAAATACATCTCTAAAATCTTGGCAGTCTTCGTGTCTTAATTGTAGTCAGTGTCTTCTTTACATACACATGAGTATATTGTATGTGTGCTTGTGTGTGTGTGTCTTTATATAGGTAGTTTTGTATATTTAAAAAAAAATACGCTGAGGTCTCAAAGCAGATTCCAAAACCAAACGTGAGAGACTGAAATACTGAGTGCAGTTGGGCACGCTGAGGACTTTGGTGGAAGCCTAACGTGCATCTGTGTTAGGCATTAACAGCTTGCAGCCTTTTCTCCTTGTAGAACACATCTATTAGACGTTTGTGAACGATGTCCAGGCGCAGATAATCATTTAGCAAAGTGATAACTCTCCCATTGTACATCGGATAATCCTGAGTGATCCTCGGGATTCAGGGCTCACAGGGGCTGCTCAGATGCGATGAGGGATCAGTATCTGAAGCACAAGGATGAGTGTCTACGGCTCTGTGTCTGCTTCCCAGCAATCATTTTCTTTTTTCTTCTGACACAAACATCTCTATGAAAACAATAAGAGTAAGAGTTATTGCCCTGGAATCAAAGCATTAGGAAATGTACGGTACATTAATATTTTGGAGGCTTGGTGTGATATAAAGCAAATTGGTGTAATATGGAAAAGCTTCAGTTAGATGCCTTAATAGGATGATCAGGGTACCCATCCATATTGGAGAGGATTTTAATATGAAAGATCTGACTCTTCCATAAGGAAGGTAGATGAACATGTTCTAGGAGAGTTAATGGGTTTTTGCTTCAAAAATTTTATTTCCTTCTAAACTACTGAGAGCAAGCTTGTGGATTTAAACAGCTCTCATAGCTGGCTAAAAGATTTTCCAAGAGAACAATGGGGATAAAGAGGGCCTTTATAGCAATGACAACTACTTGTGTGCTTTTTGTCTGTTAGCAAAGAGACCCTAAAATTCTCCAAATTCCTTGTACATATCTTAGCTTTTGTTAGGGGCAGGTGAGTGAAAACGGGTCTTGTTGGCACAGCCTATCTCTGGATTTGCCCATTATACTGGAAGAATTTAACATCTTTTGTTTAGTTGCATTTACTGAAAAAGATAATTAGGTTCTCTGAAAATACTCAAAAAATTAAACCAAAGGGGGCAAATATTCCTTTCATAAGAATCTTCTATTTCCCTGCATCTTTTTCTAGCCATCCCATCTGCATTTGTGACTGTTCTCTGTAACGGGAGAGAATCTGTCCCAAAGGTGGATATTAGGCAGGGCTTTAAAAGCTAAGGCCCCATAGTAAAACACACAGTTTAAAATGCACATATGAAAATCGCTGAGGGCGAGCTAACAGGCCATGAAGCAGAATAACAGGGGACTAATTCTAAAAGAAAATAAAAATCTCCATCTCAATGCACTTTGGGTAAACTGATAATACACCCGGTATAACTTACAGAGGCAAGTCACTGATGAGGTCCACTAGGAACTTTTCAACTCTTCAGATCCTAACAAATGGTAACATTTGAAACCCAGGTGTGAAAGTACACTTTCTTAGCTATTTGGTTCATATTCCTAGTTCAAATTATTAACTACTTTTCAGTTTAAAAAAACAACAAAATAAAAAACCTATAGCTTTGGAAAATTCCATTATAGACTCTTCAATTCATATTAAACAGTTTAAATAAGGAAGTTCGCTATCTTCACGCAATTTTATAAAGGGAATGCACTATATTTAAATAATGCACCATCTTAAAATGAACTAAGCCACAGAGACTACGAAATGCCAACAGATGGTTGAATTGTGTTTCCATAGCAAAGTAATTTATAATAATTGCTTTATAGATGCAAGTGCAATTTTCATTATATTCAATTCATAAAATGTTATCATACAGCTGCAATTTGTGATATTTTCTATTAGGAAAAGTGTTGAATATTTGAGTTTCCAAGAAGGAATAATTAGCAATGTGTCTAAACATGTGTAAACTACAGATTTAAATCTACTGCTTTGTGACTTTGACACTGTTCTGTGGCATGCACTTGGAAATCTTAAGCTAAAATGAAAAGAAAAGAAGAGAAAAGAAAATAAAAAAAAGGAAAACATTACTGGAGCATGTGTTGTGGTTACTCAAGCTTTTCTGCTTTGTTTGTTTGTTTGTGTGTTTGGTTTTAGATTCATTAAGTTGGTGTTTTCTGAAACAGCCAACACATTGACGATTAATAACCTGAAAAGGTGGTAAGAAGAAGGAAATGTACATTTCCTAGACTCAACTTTCAATTATATTTGCTACATCTACTATACAGGAAGAAGACACTTTGAAAAGTGAAGAAAAGGAGCATTAGAGGTGAGGTAGTATAAAATCTTCTAGTTCCAAAATTATTAATATCACTTTTTAAGTTTGAAAATCCAGCAGTCTGTAAGTTAGGACCAATATAATCTTAAAGACTTGGAACCCATGGCTTTGAGCTTGAACTGAGTGAAGATTTGGTTAATTTGTAATATTATTTTTTAAAGACCATTTCAAGTATACAGGCTTAAATGATGCTGGAGAATACTCTTCACCATTCTTAACCAACACTGTTCCCTCAACCACCTAGTCTTTGTTACTCTGTCCTCACGCCTATTTTACCTCAGTGACGTCATCTGGTATATTTCGACGTGAAACTGTGGGCACTAAGGAAATGCATGTACCTGTTATCACGTCTGATGGCAGCACTGCCAACGCAGCAGACTCTCATTAAAATTTACCAGAACTATAACGATGGTCATTACACAGAATTATGGACTACATCATTGATCGAAGCTGGAGAATTGACAGGGAAAAATGCAGAGGGGTGCAAGATATTTGAATATAAGGCAGTTGCAGGACTGTGGGACAGACATTCTTGACAGGAAGCAGCCAATTACAGCTTAAATTTCTGGCACCTGACCAGTTGTGATTAATAGTTTTCCATTACATTACAGACATATTATTAATGTATTAAAAATGTCAAGCTTTGGCAAGCACTAATATGGTGTAGCTCAGTTGGTCTGCAGAATTTACATTTAATGAGCTCCCATTGACATGGAAAAAGGTATTGACCACAGTGTAATATAAACCAGAGTACAGCCATGAGCTATTCTTTAACGTAATTATGTTTCCCTTCTAACTTTAAAGTCTGTAGCGCCCCTTCTTTTGCACCCCTCATATCAAAATCTCCTTACCTCCCACTACCATACAAGCTATCAAATAAATCCTTCTGCTTCATATTAGAAGAATTTAAATCTATAAACTTTAGTGACAAAGAGGCCTTATGATAATCAGAGATTTGTGGTAAAAGTAAAATTGTGGTATTTTCAAAGAAAATAAATATTGTACAAAGAGAATATTATTTACACCACCACCTCCAACACTTAATGCTGCTGATTTCCAGCTGGCTCTCCTCTAGACCAGGTTAAAAATATCAATGTTGTCTTCTTAAAAGCTAGGTCATGGCTGCAAATGGCTAGACAAATTCATTAAGGGATGGGCAGCCAATGGTAGACATATCTGGGGACTAAGTGTCCCAAATGGATCCCTTCCTGAATGCCAGATACTGTGAATTTGTCTCAAGGGTCTGGATATGGGCAACTTCAGAAGATCCCTGGGCAGCTCCAGCTCTAAATCTGCACTTTCCCCACCTGGGAACTCAGAACAACCAAGGACTGGCACCGTCTCTACCTATGAGCTGAAGTAGTAAGAAATCCTTTGTGTTTAAATTTTTCCCCATTAATATATTACAAGTCCATGGATCTTTGGCATATGGATTTGTAGAGCCAATGAAAAACTCCACAAAATTACATGGCTTTCAGGTTGATAGGTATTATTGATCAGGACTAAAATAGGCTACAAAATGGCTTTGCATCCATGAAACATACATTTTTCCAAGATTCAACAGCTAAGTCCTTCCTGCCTTGGATTAGTTATGCAGAAGAGATTTAAAAAAAAATAAACCTTCCAATTATCAGAAAAAAATGGCTCCAAAGTGTTATGCAAACTAATAATGATTAAAATAATAAGCCATTATAGTTTCAAAGAATTACCAATGTCATTAACTGAAAGAAAAATACTGTCAGTCAATCTACCAACTCTTGCTGGATTTTAGCATTCTTTTCATTATATAACCCCACTAGAAAGTGGGGGTGTGGTAATAGGCTAAATATTCCATAAACACGTAGCTCATCGGGACCCCTGAAATAGACAGCTACTGACTCATTCTGTGCAGACATTAAGACTTTTATAAAGCTACAAGTTTCTGAATGGATATAAACAGAAGGAAAATTACAGATAATCACTTTTCATCGACTGGAGAAAATAAAGGGGAAACAATATACAAACTGTCAAGATTGGCAGCTGTGAACACAACCACAGTGAGATCAAACATTCACACACATTTAATGTTCTTTGCACATGTTCATTGGTTGTGACAAGGGGATCTTTTGGTTTCTTCATGAGGAACAGAGGCTCCTGTCTTTTTGTTGACTATCTCAAAAAGGTAAGGACTCTTACATGTGATGCTACAATTCCAACATGCTTTGCACATAAGTGACTGAGTATTCTACAAAACAATCATGGGAATCTTAATAAAGCCAATTGGCACACATTGGTATTTTAAATATTTCTATTTTTATCAAAAGATAAACATGATGGACATCAGTACATATTTTCCAGGATGTTTGTGGAGGGGTCATGCGTTAAAATTACTTCAAAATCAAGTAAGCCTAAACAAAACCTGGCACTCAACTGTCAGATGAACGAAAAGCCTTCCTTCTAATATAGGGAAGTTAAGAAATACAAGCTTCCACAGACGCAGCTGAAAAATTCTACACCCACTTGAAGTTTGAAACAGAGCTCCAGATTCTAAAATTAAAATTACTTTCTGAAAGTATGTTAAATCACTTACTTCCCCATAATACAACATAATCCACACACACACACACACACACACACACACACGCACACACACACGCACACATTTAAATACTAACATACACTCATTTTTCTAAGGTGTATGAAATTTTATTGCCTTCCTAGTGACTTGGTGCTTTGGTTACTCACAAACTCTCTTCAAATCTTTATTTATAATACCTACCAGCTAAATGCACAGTGGTGTAATTGTTTAATGGTACCGTCTGATGTTTTGCAGAAAACTGACAGGAGCAAAAACATACATTTGCTATCCCTGGTAAATACGTGAAAGAAACTTCAACATGCATTAGCTGTCTCCTAAATACAAAATTAACCAGAACCACTTGAACTCACATGACCAACTGACAAAACTCTAAATAGGAACACAGTTGCATGCACAAATAAAAATAGGTTTTTTTTTAAAAAAAAATATAAGCATGGCGATTCCTCTTAAATACAACCACAGGGATTGCCAATAAATGAAAAGCCAAATACATGAAACATTGGATGTCTTCATGTTGGTACTCAGTGGCGAAAGTACCATAATGCATGTCATGGCATCTGGAAGGGAGACTATCCCCCTTCCATGTGTAAGTGGGACAGCATGACATGTGAAATGTATGATGTGATTCTTCTTTGCACCCTGGTTTCCCTTGAAAGACTGAAAGTTTTTTGTGTTTTAAAATATTCTTGGACATTTATCGGGCTGATTTCCCTCTGCCAAAGAGAAGAGCTGCTAGGTAAGGCATGCAGAGGGACAAAGTACAAAACACTTGCAAACCTCCTTGCAGGTTAGAGGTTCTCTGCTCTCCAAAGCCATCTAACCAGGAAATCCTTGCCCTCATAAAACATCGATGCGAAACTTTCTAGCAAGCATATTTGAACAAATGATTTTGAGGAAAACATCTTTGCTTTCTTATTTTTTTCCCCTTTCTTCTGTTAAGAAAGGAAAACTTTTAGTATTTTCAGTCATAAAACGAGGCCTGATTTCCAGAGCAAAGCTGCTGCCAGATTCGCCATATGTTTAGTGGGGTTCTGAGTCTTGCTCAGAATTTTCCACTCCGAAGAGTGACAAAGTGTTGTGCTGGGAAGTTGCTTGCTTTTTCCTTTCTAAGGAAAGGGGCACTAAAGAGGGGACAGCTAGAGGACCTACGCTACAAACCTGTACCTGGTGCAGTTGGAGCAACTCTGCCTGCTCTTTTCCACAGAAAATTGCTTTAAAATCAAGCCCCCGCTTCCTCGAAGGATTTTCCTCCCAGGCCCTGTAAAATGACAGCTACTCATAAGACTGGGGGGGGGGGGGGGAGGTCCCTGGGTGAGGTTACCAAAATAAACAGCAGAGGGCGCAGTTTCTTTTTTAAAAAAATCCAAGTTTTCTCTCCTATGAATCACTTAATTGGATATTTTGGGCCCAATAATATTCGGTATTATTTGTATTATATATAGATACCCACAGATCCGTAGCGGAGAGAAACTCCATGTCTCTAGCCGAATCCATCAACTAATAATGAGAAACCAGTGGGGGAGAAAAGGCTCCCACCAGCTTTCCAAAGCGGTCTTTCCCTCCTTCCACGTTCTTCCCTCCCGAGCTGTACACTGTGTGGTAGTAACGCTTTAATCTCACACCAATAAAGGAGATTAAAAGAGGGGACTTCAAAAGCTCTCCACAGGGCGAGCAACAAGGCAAGTTTTTATTTATTATTTTTCCCTGATGAGAAAACTGAAAAAAGGAAAATCATAATTAACAAAAAGAAAAGAAAAACGCCTGTGCGATGCGTGTGGTCAGGTGTGTGTGTGGGAGACTGAGCGCGCGGCGCGTTGCGGGTGGGTGGATGGAGGCTCCGGATGCAACAGCCAGCGACCCAGTGCAAGGAGCACGCCAGGGATGTAGTGTGGGTGTGAGCGGTGAGGGCTCCGGAGTGCGCACAGGCTCCGCTGCCTCCTTAAGGCGCTTTGCAAAGTTCCTCGCCCACCCGGATCTCCCCTCCCGCCCTCGGCGGGCACCACGGGTTGGCAGAGGGAGGGATGGCGGGAGGGAGAGAGCTGATGGAGAGGGGCCACCCAGAGAGGCGCGGGTCGCTGGAGTCAGTCAGTTGCACTTACCCGGGCCCCCCGCTGGCCCTTGCCGAGCGGGAGCTGAGCCGTCGGCGCGGGGCGGCGGCCCTGCCCAGCTTGGTCCCGCGTGGGGCGGCGACCGCAGCTGCGAGGACCCGCTGGCAGCGCACGGGGCTCGGGTGGAATGGGAACGTGGCGGGTGTGGACCCGAGTCACCACCACCGCAGCCCCGGGGTCGGTCCCCCGCACTGTAAGCGTCCTGCGGGCCGCGGGGAGGAGGAGTCCACGGCCCCAGACCCCACGGCGCCCGGCACCTCCCGTCCCAGTTACCTTGGCCTCGCGCCCCTGGGGCAGCCTCGTTGAGCGTCGCCCCCTTTCGGAGCCGGGACCCGGACTGGGGGAATTCCTTCCCGTTGACGTTCTCTTCCAAAATGCAAAAGATCAGTGACTTTGACAGGTAGATGAGGGGGAGGGAGAGGGGTGGGCGGAGAGGAAGGGAGGATGAGAAAGGTGCCTCTCCCTCCAAAAATACAGTGGGATTAGGAACCAAATCGCCGCCTTCCGAGGTCTCACCAGCCGTCTCCTCTCGGCAGTCTCCCCGCGCCGCCGCCACCGCCACTTCTCGCCTTAAACTTTTACTGTGGGTTTTTTTTTCTCTCTTCTCAATTTCTATTCCTTTCTTCTTTCTTTTCTTTTAAGCTGCAGAACGATTTTTCCCCCGATCCCGGGGGATCAGAACCAGCGGCCGGGCGGTTCTATCCCGCTTGGCACCGCTTTCATTTTATTTCAGATGAAGATATTGGATCTTTTTTTTTTCTTTTTTGTCAGAAGCGACATAAATCAGGACAATTAGCCTTGGCGCCAAGAAGATCCTCTCGAAGCAATTTCGCCCCGGTTTCCTTCGCGCATTCCTCCACTCAAGTCAGAAATGTCACTGCACATAGCGTTGATGGCTGCGAGACGCGACGCACCCGAAGTCCGTTTGATGAAATATACATGGCCCCAAGATGCTTCTGGATTGCGGTTCGCCGCTTCCCAGCCCCCGCCCGCGGCGCCCGGCCGGGACCCTGCTCCCAGCCCGCAGCCAGCTCTCGGCAAACTTAGGGGCGCGGACGAATTAGCGAGTGAGCGCCAGGGGCCGGCAAAGCCATGAGCGAGGAAACAGCCCCGGGAAGCCGCAGCCCTCGGAGGGGTGGCGTGTTCTTCTCACTTAAAAAGCAGATCTTCTGCAACTGCCAGCGAGTGGAAGGATTGCAAAAACCTTATACTACCTCGAGACCTGGGCGCTCCGAGCGGTCCTAACTCCGTCCCGCTCGCTGATTCCACTGCTGCTGCTCTGGTCACCGCAGCCACCGCTGCCGCCATGTAGGGACCTCGGGGTACTGGATCAACAAGACCACCTACACTCTTCTCTCCCACCTTTGTTGATCTACCAGAAGCGCGATTTCTACTGGTTCCCTTTCTACCCCCCAGTTCTGCTCCCTCCCCTTGCTCCCTACAGGGTTCCCAAGCACAACCCCTTCTAGCTAACTGGGAGCTTGGTATAATTTTTGTTTTAACTTGACTATCAGTTTGCCTAGCCAGAGCTCCCAACCTCTTTGGTGTGAAATTCATCCCACTTTAGAAAGCTGAAGTTCAGGTAGGAGCTTCCCATCACAGGTGTCCTTGGTTTTCCCTGCTGGCAGACAAAAGCCACCTGGCCCCAAGGTGTCTTAACCTCTCCAAGGAGTCCCCCTAGGTAGTTGCTAATGTTACCTGAAAACCACCCTGATTTACAGGAAGAGTCAGGGAGAGGTTTTCATTAGAAATAAAAGGACATTGCAATAGGGAAAACACCGATCTCACAAATGCACAACCATCTCAATGACAGCCCACAAAGTCGGGCTTTTCCTAAACCGGAAAGGGAATAAACCCCGGAAGAAAAGTGGGCATGCAAGGGTAGATGACAAGCCGTCCTGTCTCTTGTCGTTCAAGGATTTGAGGGAGGAACTGAGAAGAAGGTGCTTGCTCAGGCTGGTGGGGGTAGGAGGAGAAGGTGCTGCATTTTGGGGAGACTGGAGTAGGGATGTCCACTCAGTGTAAAACAACAGGTCAGAAATGGGTACCTGCGAGCATCAGGTCACTAGCTGCACACTTCCTACTGAGGGCATGGAACCGAGATTGGTAGGAACGTTTTCCAGACATGGCTGGGAATGGTGTGTGTGTGGGGGGGGGGGGGGTATGTGGTGAGAGGGCTACTACATTGAGTCCTGGACACGAAGGAGGCTGGCACCTCCCTCCCATCCAACACCTGGACCTCCCCTGACCACTGCAGAAGACAGGGAAACCACCCTCTGTGGCTCTCAGAGCTACAGTCTGAACTTTCTCCTCTCTGTGCCTTTCTCTTTGTTCTTTGACCCTGAAATTTGAAGAAGGAGCCTCACCTGTAGGGGATGCAGCTGTTGGGAAGCCTGCAGCCTTGGCCAGCTCTGCCTCCAGCCTGTCTCCTCTAGGTCCAAAGCACACTGATGTAGAAATACTACCCACCCCCACCATCCCTCTCTAATCCCAGAGCCCTATATTTTCTTGAGGTGCCCCTATATTCAGCATGACGGATAGAACATCCACAATGGCCTTCTCACTTCTTATTGGCAACTGGCCTGCACCCTTGACCACTGACAGCTGTCAGTCTTTCTTCTCACTGCCCTTTGCAGTCAGGTCAAAGGAGCTCTTACTGAATTCTCGGATTTGGCATCAACTGACGCTTCAAGGTGTTTCTCCAGTAAAAAGAAAGCATATTTATACAGAAACAAGAGAATTCCCTCCAGAGATATATCAGGGTCTTTGAAACATTAGCCTCCACAGCTAACCCCTCCTTCTACTCAGATTCCTGTCTTCATCCCACGATTTTGGCTTCTTTTGAGATGTCCTTTGTGAGTTACAGACTTCTAACTACTTCTTAAAACAGACAACAGCACCCCATAGAGCTGCTGGGGACCATTTCATGTCTCCCATGGAAAGAGCAGATCTTCCAGAGTTGAATTTTCTCTCACCCATCAGCCTGGACTTTGCAGAGACTTAGAATATCACTAACTGAGCTCTTGGATCTGTACTCTGCAGAGCACATCAGACTCCTGAGAGATCTTTCAGCACCTAATTCAGTCTTGTTCTCCTGCCTTTCAGTGGGGATAGAGGGAAAAGAGATTTGGCTGTCGGTAGTGGCATTTTGTTGTGTTTCTCCATCTCTGGGTGGATGTGACAACCCAAATGGAGCATCCATGAATGAATACATGCATGTATTAAACTTGCTTTTCTGAATCTATCTTTTCAGATTTGTATGTAGTAAGAGTCAATCAGAAACTTGCTTCCAGCATTTCACTGACACAATGGGAAACAATATAGGACACATTTTACTTTCTGCCTTTAGCAAATACACACACACATCTATATATTTAGCTTTCTTTGGACAGAATGATTTTCTGTTTTTATTTAACCTTTCAGGTCTACTTTTCTCTCTTCTTTTAGAGGTGAACAGTTTGATCTTTTAGCTGTCTGGCTTCAGCTCTCTGGCTGGTTTCTATGTGGCCCTCATTCTTCTTCCATTTAGATACCCATTTATTTGTAATCCTGTTAGAGCTCTACCTGTTGCTCGTTTTTCTGGTTTAGTAGCTTTAGAGAGCTGGCAGGGTTGTGTGAATACTTGTAACTCCAGCGTCCCAAACTGCTGGTGATGGCATATTTGCAACTTACCTGGTCCAAGAAGACATTGGTCTTTTTATAATGACTGTATAGTACCAGATATAGAGTAAATATGGATAAATGTTCGTTGCTGGTGTGAATAAATTTTGGCCATTCTCGGATTCTACTGAAGTCTCTCAGGTAATGAGAACTAACCCTCACCTATTAAATTAAGACTTAAACTTGGAAACATTCAAATCAGGTACATCCGGGATTTCTGGTGTCTGTAAAAGTAATTCCACACAGTTAATGACTTATAATAATAACAAAAAATGTTTTTCACTGGTCAGGAGGACAAAAGAGATTGGAATGCCAGAAGAGTTGGGATCTAGTTAGAGGCCTCGTGTATGTTTGGATGCCTAACTCTGTGAATTCTCATATCGTGAGAGGGGGCTAGTGAGCTCTGGACTCCCTTTAATAAATGAACTAATCGGTAATAAGGGCTCCTCTCTTGTGACCTAGTTACCTCCTCAATTCTTCACCTCCAAATAGCCTCAAACCATCAAGGTGGGAATTGGAATTTAAACATAGCACATGGGAGCAGACAGAAAAATTTAGTGGGTGGCCAGCGGCAAGATCTATTTGAATAATTATAGGCTATGCCATAAGTGCCTTCTACAGTTGCGCTTGTACCCAATAGAAAGATCCACCTGGCAGTTATCAAGCCGTTTGCGCTTGCCCACCTTCCCCTGTGTACTAGGGGGCATATTTGTTACAGAGCCTTTAGCAATCTCATTTTGACAGATGTTGAAGCTCCTTTTCCTGGAGCTCTACATGCTCAAATCTTTTGACATTTAAACCCCAAACAAGTTCTAAACCTTTGTTCTGGGCTCTATCATTAGGGTATGCTGGCATTGCCCTGTTATAGTATTGTAGACGTACCCAGAAAGCTCTATTTCAATGCTGCGCATTTAGAAGACAGTCTGGGTTAGTTTCTCTCAGGGCTGATGACAGACCAAAGGAAGTTCTCTATAATATCAGACAAGCTTCACGCACTTACAGAGTACTGTTACTGGAACACAAAGATGGAGCTAATGGTGTAAGCCATTTGGTGGCTAAGGATTGATGCGAGGAACGTGACCCACAGCAAGCATATGCTTTGAAATGTATGGCACTGAATATAAAAGTTTGGAAATAATAAAATTTGTGATTTCACAAAATATAACTTTGGATTTCTTTTAAGATAAAACTCGCTAACTTAAAAATATCTCTATTCTAATCTGAGGATGCCAGAAAGCTTTTTATTTACCCTTTCTCATTCATAGCAAGCCTGTAGTGATCATCCCTTAATTACTTCTCATCCATTTCTATAAGGGCATTTTTTACATGCTGTTTAAGGGCGTCAATCACTTTCATAAAGTCAATTTTTTTCTACTTCTTCTTGATTAAGGTGTTCCTGTCCTCCTGTTGTGAGGTCACTGGATTCTGGTGGTTTCATGTTGTTTTTCAGATTGTTGGGTGAATTCTTGCATTGGCGCCTGCCCCTCTCTTCCTCTGAATGCTTCCCTATGGATCTTCTTTTACAGGATCAGGTCTCCTTGCCTATTGATGTATCTTCCCAGTGATGGCACCCCCCAGTGATAGCTCTCCTGCTGCTCGAGTGATGTCTCTCCCCAATGAAGGCTCTCCCCAATGATGGCTCTCCTGGTGCAGAGATCAGATCTCCATGCTGGTTGGGTAGCTTGTAAACAAAGCGCCTACCTTGCTTGCTGCAGGCAGGCTATTGAAACAAAGGATCTCCCACCTGCTAGGTTGCCCTCGGGATTCGGCCCCAGTGCCCCGAAGAGGAAAGGGAGGCCGATCATCCCTTAATTAATATATGATGTTAGAAATTTTCATTCAACCAGTTAATTTGTTGAAACCAGGATACACCGAGATCCCACTGTCCACTCTTTATTATTGGTTTTTTCTTTGCTCCTTCCCTAAATTATTTCTTATTTTTAAACAGTTTATTTTTCTTCTAAGTATAGAAGACAAGTATAACACCAGCAGATTTAGATTATTCTATGAGCTTTACAAACTAGGTAAGATTGTGGGAACTATTTCATTATGTTTGGTTTGCCTGCCTAAGGCAATTAAGCTATTTCTTAAAAAGATGGGATCACATCATTCATTTGGTATACTGGCTGAAAACATTCACTATCAAGAGTCAGCAGCTATGAACATTTCCTCAAATGAAATTCTCGTATTTCCAGTTACTCAACAACAACAACAGAAAAGCATCTTTATAAAATTGAGAAGGACAGTACACGGGGGATGGCTGAGTAACTTCCATCATCTACTTAGGAGATCCTTCCACCAATCCCATCCTAATAGTCATTCTAGTCAGTGTACCTCGGTGGAATTCACAGCCATTTCTGGGGCAATCCTGGGTACTGACGTAACTACCAAACTCAAACACAGTGCTCACAAGTCACCTTGGAAGGAGAGTTGGGCAGTTACCAGTGATGTGCAGGAAGAGTGCTGAGACATAGATTAAAGGCAGAAACACTGCAGCAGGGGTAAAAGTACACAAGCAACTCTGCCTGGCCAGTGATCCAGACAGGAATGGAGGACAGCATCATGCCTTTGTGAGATGGCATGTAAATATAGAACAGAATGCAATTATGGACCAGCTCCTCTTCAAAAAGAAAGCAAAAACATCAATGAGAGTACCCATGACGTGAACTATCCCAACTGGGATAAAGAGGTTCGCAGCTGCCGAGGAGAAAGCA